TGGTGTGGTGGTGAACGCGTTACTCCCCGGAAAGGACAATAGCGCGTTCGTTCCCCACCATAGACACCTGCGGTCCAGAGTTTTGCAAATATCTCAGCAACGTTGTGGTCATATTGATACTGTTTATCTAACTAACATATATATTTTGACATTGATCAGCTAACATGAGACTAGCAAAAAAAGCTTTTCCGCTGGCGCTTCAGCGTCTTTTCTTTCTTCAGAGCAGGAATGATCCGAGTGGATTATCCACAGTTGCTCCGTCTTCCAGTAGATGTCTTCGTGATCGCTTCGAATAGAATCCAGTGATGCGCCGCTCCATTAAAGAAACTCACTCGGCAATGCTCTTTTATACAGCACAGTTGTTGTTGATAATCGTTTGCTTTTTCCCCAGAGAATTCGTTCAGCAGTAGTCGGTTTCATTATAAGATAGCGTAGAGCGTAACAATATTTTAAAAAAACCGACCTTACTTTAATCTCGGCATTACTAATCAACATGTGTTTTTTCATAACTTTCTTATCAACCTCATTCCATCTTATCAATGAAACGATAGAGGTTTAATACATGTTAAAACAAAATCGGTTCTTGAAAACTGGCTTGAAAAATTGGAATTGTCGAGTACATCCATGTGTATTTACCCCTTTTCTCTCCTATCTTCTCCAAACAGATTTATTAGGCTAACGTCTCGACGTCTTTGTCTTCATCAGAGCCGATGATTGCGATCAGAGCATCAGATTACGACGAAGCCGATAAATTTTTAAACCTGATAATCGCTCTGTACTAGCTAACATAATATCGACCGCTGCAGGATGGACTATCCATTGAAAAACAAATTCTTGTCAACGGATAGTCATATCAACAACAATCGTCCTGTATAAAAGAGCACTGATAGATGAGAACGCCTCATTCGTGAGGTGTTCCACTGAAGAAGATCCACCTCGATATGACTACGAGGACGCCACATTGAGAAGACGAACAACTGTGGACCATCGACTCGGCTCAACGCATCATGAAAGAGGCATGTTCAACCGGCACTGCTCCTTTATGTAGGATGCTAACTGTTGATAATACTGATTGTCCGGTGACAACCACTTGTTTTTTTCCGGACAATTCATCCTGCAGAAGTCAGTATCATTATTAGCTTACTTGATACTTGAACGGCCCGCCCTCACTAGTTATGCGGGCCCCAGCATAATCACCATTTTTCGGAGAATTGCGTTAACCCACTATGGTTCCCTGGAGCCCTGACGACAGCCTAGCCAAAATCTGCCTCAGGTCGTCAACACAGCAGGCAGTCGCCGTCTTTGTAGATCAGAAGGAGATTTGCCACCATGCGATTTTGATACCAGGGTGATAGTGGACCGCGGCGTTGGTTTACTCTTAGCTAGGGTTCTTGATGGGAACGCCGGACTCCTCAGCTTGGGAGACCCCAGCTGTACATCGCACTCCGACACCCAGGAACACCTCTAAGCCACGACGATGCGCTTAACCGTTGAGAGGATCATTATTAGCTAGCAAAGAGAATTACAATATTTCAAAACAGACCTTCCTTTAACTTAGTTATGACTAATCAATATGCATACTTCCTTGTATGTATAATAATGTAGTAATATAACATACATTAATACCTGGAATACGTATTGTATTTCAACAAAGATGTCGAAACATTAGCCGAATAAAGATTGTATATCAACCTCGTGTAAACTTATCAAATAAAGAGTACTCATGTAACGTACATCCATCCTAGCACAACTGGTTGAGTTTGGATTACAGTCTCTCGTAAGTATTGTGTAAATAGCAACGAACTCACTTCTACGCTCACTGTCCAGCGCATGATTTATCCCTCGAGCTTCTCCCACTTGTTCTTTTAGCTTTTGCTCTTCTACTTCTCCATATCAAAACACGAGAATGTTCATGAAACGAATACATGGATGTCCTAGAAATAACTCGCATACAACAACTAACGATTTCCTTTCAGAATTTCGCGCTCTAGCGCAGCGCGATAGATGCGCAGGCAAAAGCAGATACGGTGGCAGTGGTGGGCTTGACACGGCTAGCCGACGTGCGTGGTCTGCCTGCCGTTTGATGGCCACGTTCAACGAGGAGGAGGAGGACGAGAGCGTCGCGGATTACTCGTACGGTCTGGACGACGGAACTGATGGCGAGGCGAGGCCCACCGTCGTGCTTATGGGACAAAAGAGGTTCGCTTTGCTCGTCATGAGCACCTGCTTTGACATGTTAGGGTCGTTGCGTCTTCTTTCCACTAATTTCATTGCCTGCCTATTATGAAGCTCTATTTTATTCCAACTGGAGTTTCATTCGTATACTCGCGTAAACGTATCTCATTCTTTGTCGTGGCAGTGTTAGTGCAGTTGTTTCCGAGTTGTGAAGTCGTCGTTTCAGAAGTGGGAAGACATCCATACGAAAAGTCGTTTTCCAGAAGATGTCACCAAATGAAACACTGTTCGTCGAAAGCACAGCTCGAGTTACTAAAGATGGTATGCTAATTTTTTACTTATTTCCTTGTATAGTTGGATAGCCCTTATTGGTTGTGCGGGCCCCAGCGCAATCTCCACCTTTTTGGAGTTTTCCTGGTTTAACCATTGTTTTTCCCTGAAGTCCCGAGGTCAGCCTGGCCCGAGATCGTCACCACCACGAGCAGTTGCAGTCGTTGTGAATCAGGGGGACATTTGCCATCATGCTAGTTTGATGCAAGGATGGTGGCGGATCCTAGTATTGGTTTTCTCTTAGCTGGGCTTCCTGGTGGAGATGCCGGACTCCTCAGTTTTTGGGTGACTCTATTGGGAGATGAATCCCCAAGCTGTGCATCGCAGCGCAACACCCAAGAGCACCTCCTAGCCATGACGATACGGGAAACCGTTAAGAGGTGCTAGTTTTTTTTCCATAAATATTGTACTGCTCTGTTTTCTCGAGTGAAAAGTAATTTTAACACAGTGCAAGATTACTTTTTCAGTTATTGCCTCATCTTTCATAAATTTCGAGACGTTAGAGTTTCCTGGTCAAATGGATCCTTTTGACAGCTCCTTGGATCCAGTTGCTACATTCAAACGATGTGGTTGGTGCAATATTTTCATTGTGTAATTTCTTTGTCAACCTTTTTTGTAGTGCTCGTATCTTGGAGATATTCTATAGATTTTCTCTAAGGGGTGTATTGATTATCTGAGAGGCTTCTGTTCTAGGATAGGGCGGATAACTGAAGGTTTTGCGTGGTTGAAATCGGCAGCCGAAACCCATTTAGTGGTTGTTGTGTTTTCTTTTTCTCAAAATCTTTCGGAAAGATAAAGCTTTTTCCCTGTTTGTTTTGGATGTTGCTTAGTATATAATCTACCAGTTGTCATTTCTGACTTTACTAAGCGTTGCACCCTTTAAATGATAAAAAGAGGGGTGTGATACGTACCAAACACATCAGTAAGCCCATTGAGGCTGTTTACTTGGCTACTTGGATGGTCCATCCTCGCTGGTTGTGCAGGCCTCAGCACAATTTCCACTTTTGAGTTTTGCTGGTTTAGCCACTATGGTTCCCTGGAGTCCCAATGTCAGCCGGGCCAAAGTGTGACCCAGGTCTTCACCACCACAGGCAGTCGCAGCCCTTGTGGATCAGAAGAAGATTTGCCACCATACCACTTTGATGCCAGGACGGTGGTGGATCTTGGTATTGGTTTACTTTTAGCTAGGCTTCTTGATGAAAACTCCTCAGTTTGGAATACCCTGCTATGGGGACGAATCCCTCCGCTATAAATCGTAGTTCGACATCCAGGAACACCTGCCATCCACGATGAGGCAGTGAACCATTGTGAGGCTGAGGCTGTTTACTACAGAAAATGTGCTAAGAAATCAGATTGGGTTGTAGAGTTTTGTCCAACAAGAGTAGCACTACAGATGAAGCTAGATGGACTGCCGCTAATATAAACATAGTAGGGATCCGTTTAATGAAAATCTTGTGAATTATCGTCTGCCTGCAGTTCATCGTGATATAATTGCGTTCATTATAAGATATATAAGGGTGAGTGTGGCGCAGTGGTTGGAGGCGACACACACGTGGAATCGATCCCCGCGCCTATGGCCCACCAAGCCTTCCATCCGTCCGGGGTCGGCAAATTGTTACCAGACTTGTCTGGGAGGATAAAAGCACTTGCTAGATACATCGGTAGGCCACGGCGATTTATTGTAAAGGCTAAATATGCGTTCAGTCAGCTCCAACGATGCTTAGTGAAGTGGAATGCATGACGCATCACTCAGGGTTTGATCAACGTCGAGAGCTTTATCCTTTTATCCTTTATGTGTGGTACTTTTTTCACTGAAATAGGAGTTCGACACATATTTGGTTCGTTAAACTACTTATTGCGACCTATTGAGAGCAAGAAATTTCCAAATAGAGCGCCTATTTCTGTAGGTGTAAATCTGGGGATTTTCTTTCCAGAACGTTATTTATACATTTTAAAACTTTCGAAATGGTTGACAACGATGTTTTTCTGGGCGACATCTCAATCCATTTGAGTGCTTTCAGCTTAAATTATTTTCTTGCTTTGTTGTTTTTGCCTGCAAAAGAAATTCTGTATGTAGTTTTTGTTAATTAATTGTTAATTTTTGTTACTTAAGAACTGATTATACCTAATCATTAAGGTCTAGAAGTAATGGGGTAATGCGGTCGTATCCCCAAATTCCAGACATTTCTAAGAAATCCAATTTTTATTGAACATAACCATTACCCTACTCTACCGTCTACAATCTGAGCAGATTTTTCGAACTACTGCGTCTGCGATTAAAGTCGTTATAAAATTCCAAGTGTAAGAGTTTTCATCTGCATAAATGGTTGGCTACAAACGTTTGTGGAATTATGTGGATTTTTCGATAAACAATGCTTGTGGACTTGGAGATTTCTTGAAACCTGTAGAAGATAAAGAATTTGTAGTATCGCTGTAGCATATGTGGGTATACCTAATTTCCAAAGCAGTTTAATTGCGAATTTCCGAAATAAGATTTATAAAAATACTAATCGGCTGCCTCAGTTGTTCTCCTATTGGTCGTAGAATCACTTGAAAGTTACCCAATCTTTTCACATTGTTTTAGGCACCCAAAGCATCTCAGTTCTTTTCCAAGTATCTTCATGACAAGTCATCTTTAAAAAACACATTTCTTCCTGCTGTATACTTCACTTTATTTGGTACCCACTTGCTGACTTTTGTCCACCAGTTGTCGTCGAGGCCGTCAAACCGCTTCAACAAGTTCTGATGCGCTTTCGTGCTTTAGATCTTTTTTTATGGCTTTTATATAGACCGTTGCGACGTCACATATATCATAATGAGTAGACATTTGTACAAATCCCGATTTCCCAAGACCCGAATTGTTTTCGATGTTTTTGTGTTCAGTTTTGCAACTTTCTTCCTTGCAGAAAAGAATATTGCAAGTAGAGGTCGATAATAGGAACACTTGTAAATCTTTGGGGAAAACAATGAAATCGAGAAAACAGAACCTTCCATTCAATATCGCCTGTTTTATTATGGTATTCTCCACTGACAGATTGTTACATCAGGCACTGAGAGGACTTCCGGTGTTGTAAGTTGGCATGGTCCTGGTCAGCTTGATTAACTTCTAACCTTGGTATCCGTTCAGTTCAGAATTCATTTCATTATATTTAGGGGGTGACGATGTCGATCTCACCAAACGTTTTTCTGGAAACATTCCTTGAATTTAAATTCCTATTTGTGAACTCAATTGTACGACATTCTGAGTAAACCTACCTAACTTCATGTCTAAAATGTTTTCACTTTATTTTCAACGTAGCTATATATTGGGCCTTAGGGGACGATGGTTGCATTGGGCTACATCGTTAAAAGCGTAAACGTCCTATCTAAATCGTTACTTGTGCAAAACAATCAATGCTTATGTTAAGGTGAACCAACTTGTATACCATTCAACAGCTACTCTACTATTGTTTTTTCAAGGAAACATTTCTTCAACATGACAAATGGTTTTTAATGAACAGTCATTTTTCATTTTGGCTTGCTCGATGTCGTGACATTTATTACTTAGAACTCGTGTCAAGAGGTATTTCATGGAGGATTCAGACTGTCGTGTCCATTAGAAGTACAGATCGTCTCTATAGTTTTTTTAGTTTTATGAAGTATAGAGTGAACATAAGGTTTTTCAGTATTACCATATTCGTCACTTCAAATAGGGTCCAATTTATGCGGCGCGAAATTTGTGCCTCGGCACGAATGGGATAAGTACGATGAATATCATGCAGCATTATTGTTTAAATACTGTAAATTACCGTCTTATTACTCTTCCAGAACACAAACCATAAGGTTAAGCTCGCGTCGGCCCATGTGTGGCTTCTTGACTGGTGGTATGTACAACTGCTATGTGCTCTTCATGCATGTTTTTGTGTGTTATTTCGTAAATATTTTGATCATCTGACACTAATGGCTTCTGGTCGGCACCAGCATTAATTTTTTCAATAGAAAAAAATTGGCTGTTTTTGTTATCGCAAAATTAACCACTTATTGAAACTTTTAAGGAGTTCTCGATGCGACTATGTACGATTCGTTAGCTGACTTCTTCTTAAAGAGGTTCTGTCTTACTCGACCACACGTAGCACGATTTTTTTTTTCTGAGAAATCCTTTACTAATGATGACGTTTGGCGTCTCTTAATGTTTCAGTAAAATGATTTTGTTTTACCAGTAGTACATCGGGTTTTGTTAGTTATGCTTTTTTCAATGCATCTGACAATCATTTCAGGTGCTTTGCTTTTCATTGTTGATGCTCAAGACGAATATGTGGACTCTCTTAAGAAGATGTCGGAGAATTTTACACATGCGTTTCGAATCAATCCGAACATCAAATTTGAGGTTTTTATACACAAGGTAATATTCGTTTTGTGTTTAATTTCTCATATGAATCATTCCAATCCGGTCTATCGCTAGAATATGTGAAGCGTCTTCATTTATCGAACAGATGATAAGGTTTGAACCGAAAACGACCATGCATTTACTCTGAGGTCAAGCAGCGAAAACCCGTGTGGCTACTTTGCGAGCTAACTCGAACAAATTATGTTTGCCTTAGTTATCGACGATTAAGTAGATTACAGGTCGTTGGACTTACTACATAATCTTGATGCTGATTTTATTGTTAAGATATATTAGGATTTATTACTAGCGTTTCTGAGTGACGTATGAATTAGAAATCCTCGTTATTAAATCCAAAACATATTAAGAAATCCTATAAGAATTTAAAATATGCCCAACTTACAACTCAATTTTTGCTTCTGTTGGAATTTAAAAAATGCAGTTCTTGATTCATCTTGGATATCGTTGATGAGTTAAGATGAATTAGACATGAATTAGTCGGTGATTTAAACATTTTCTTCCAACGGTTTACCGTCTCATCGTGGCTGGGAGGTGTTCTCGGGTGTGGTGTCGAGCTGCGTTGTACAGCGGGGATATATTTATGCCCCAAGCAGGGTAGGGTCTCCCAAGATGAGACGGAGTCCGGCGTGTTTATCAGGAAGCCCAGCTAAGAGGAAACCAATACCAGGATCCACCGCTGTCCTGGTATGAAACTAGTCGCATAGTGGCAAATCTCCTTCTGATCTACAAAGACGGCGACTGCCTGCGGTGTTGACGACCTGGGGCAGATTTTGACTTTACCGTCCTCAGGATTTCAGGGAACCACGTTGGCTAAACCAGCAAAACTCCGAAATAGTGGAGATTATGCTGAGGCCCGCACAACCAGCGAGGAGGGGCCATCCAAGTAAGTTTTTTATTTGGGCTGCGTTTGATTGTACTGCATTGGTTATTCACAACAATATCAATTTAAAACGTAACTTAGGAACGTCGTATGGATTATTTGCAATATATAAACGAAAAGCGCGGTTCTTAATGATTCCTTGCATATTCTTCGTCCATAGTGCCAGTATTTTTTTGAATAAAGGGATATTTGTAAGTATTTAACTATCAGTTCATTGACATGTGCCACAAATGCTACCGCTGATATTTGCAAATGGTCGATTTATCAGAAGCTTACTATATCCTGGGATCTAGTTTACTGGTCATCTCGCCTGTCTGTCATCAACATTTCTGATGACATGACTGGCAGGCCTATGTGTGGCCGTCAATGTCTGGCTAGAGAGCTCTCGCTCTTGACTACAACGCAAGTCATAGTTTAGAGAGAGGAATCTCTTATGTCTTTTGTTCAGCTAGGGTCCTATGTTGTTAAACGAAGTATGGTAATAGTACATCTTTTCTATTACCAACTCCATGTGATGCAAGGTCATAGAACGGTGTAGAATACGGAATATATGTGTTGGAGGATGTTTTCATTAATGATGGAGTACAGCTAACACTCTCAGTGGTATGTCGTAGATCAATGGACATCGTGGATGTAAATAGTTTGTTGTAGACTAGGCGCGTAAAATACGATCTGCTGAAGCTGTTCTTTGTTGGTTGACCTGTTTGTTTTTTTCTTTCGGAGGTCCGGGCATGGCTTACTAGGTGTTCTGTGATCGTCAGCACAAGGAATCGCCGGGCCTTGTGGATCTGATGGAGGTTTGCATCTTTGTTAACAGCATATTACCTGTACGTGGTGATTCTTGGATTGGTTTACTCTTAGTTGTGCGGCCGGAGGAAAATATCGAGCTCCTTCTTAGCTTAGGTAACGGATGGTTTCCTGACGACTTGAACCTGCTGTGCATCGTAGTTGTTATACTCACTCAGCTGCAATGTAGCGGCAAGCTTTTGGGTGACAGGGGCTTCTTATCACCAGCTGTTTAAATTGTATGGTGTATTATTAACCATCGCGACGTGAGTTGAACTTTTTGAGCCTAGTGTTTCATATCGGCAACCAGTGGTATTCAGAAAAGCTAGAAAAATGGACTAGATATTTTTCTGTTACATTTTTATGAGCAGTTTTCTCACCCTTGTCATGTTTGAAATGTTCTTCACTGTAACACTGCACGGAAAAACTGTTTTGTATGTGTTCTTCAAAATGAATTTGTGATATTAAGATTCGATATAAATGTTCAGAAAGCGATGTTCTCGTAGAATTGCCATGAAGTATGACTGGATATTGATGAACTATTAAGTCTTGTACACCTTGTCTGAAGAAGAGAGGCACTGCAGCAGTAAACTGAAATTAGCCAATAGATTAAAGAGAACAAAGTGGAAAGTCGAATCGCACTGATATGCATAAAATTCACGTTATAGTCACTAGTATGAGTTGTGATCCTTTTAATTATTTTTGTGGAAGAAAAGATTATGTCTTTCACGATTCAAATGCCTTTAAGCTCATCATTCACCAGCAGATTTTTTCCATGCAGTGTGGTATCTAAGAGCATTTTAAACATTATGTAAACCATGAACAAATTTAAAACAGGGGGATAGAAATACACCGAAAATTGACAGTATTCGAACCACTTCGTCATTTGTGTTATGGCCGTTGTGTTTACTTATATTTTATCTCTGTCATCACAGTAATTAAAAGGATCACATTTAGTGTTATCGCGCACAAAGTACACGTTGTTGTTCATTACAGAGCCTCAACTTTCAAAGTGCTCTATTAGTCTATTGGCAAATGTCAACCGACTGCTTCCATGTGTTCTCGTATTCATGATGTGCAACAGGATCGGAAGTACCGTTTGAAAGTATTGAATATGAAGATTGTCTTTGTGGTTATGAGATTTTAGGAGTCATATGGATCTTTAGTATTTCATAGACCTCCTTGTTGTTCTGCTAACACCCTCCAAAGAATTTGCCATTTTGAGATTTATTGAAATTTAACATATCACACCCAGATACATAATATTAGCTGGCTCGTATTTTGGGCATCTTAGCGTGATTCATGGCTCATTTTTAGGCTGATGGATTGACGGAAGAGAGTCGCGTCGACGCTCAATATGATATCTATCATAGGGTGAATTTGTTAACATTTTATGTCTATACTTCGAAGAAGAGCGCCGAATGTCCACCGTTGTTCCTGTTGTCACCTTTCTTATTTGTTGGTTTCAGGTGAAATGTGAATTGGCGGAGCAAGGACTAGAGGATTTTAACGTAACGTTTCACCTCACATCTATCTACGACCACTCAATATTCGAAGCATTCTCGAAAGTAGTGCAGAATCTGGTTAAGCGGCTACCTACTTTGGAGCGGCTCCTGGACATTTTCAATCAGGTTTTCATTCTAGTATTCTTACGTAGATAAGTCCACGTCTACTCCATGTATTATATTGTAAGATTTTTGAATGGTTTATTTGCTTTATAAAGTCCAGTTACACCAATGTCTGCAAATCAGTGGAAGAGTGTTCTTCAGTTTTTTCGTTGAATGAATATTTCAGGGTTCAAACGTCGAGAAATCGTTCTTATTTGACGTAGCGTCTAAAATTTATATAGCAACAGATACTACTCCTGTGGAAATGGCGGCATATGAACTGTGCTGCGATATGATTGATGTCACTGTTGACATATCTGGAATATACGGGTTCGTTTTATTAATAGGTGTGGTTTTGCCTTGTTAGTAAAACACCTGTATCACCCATCGTCCCGTTCATCGTCGAGGGACTCAAGGAGACGTCATTAAACATTCTATTTCTCCCTCTCGCGTTCAAGAGTAGGCCAATGAGTTCTCGCTCTAGGGACCCATTGAGCGTCATATTTTTCTTCTAGGATTTCCGTGAAGAACTCTGGCTTTTGCGTCGGTGGTCGATCTGCTGTTTGACACCCTGACGAATACAATCAGTGACGGCTCTTGTCCATTGGTTGTCGTTCATACGCACTACTTATCCGGCCCACGTTATCTTCGATAATTTGGCACAGAGAACGGCGCCTTTGATTTTTGATCGTTGATGTAAATCGGAGCTTCAGATCCCTTACTTCAATTGCGTGATGCAAGAGACTCCTAACATCGTTCTTCCGACTGCACGTCCAATAACGCTGAGTGGTCTGTCATCCTGCTTATGCAGCGACAAGGTTCCTGACGCACACCTTAGGAAAAGAAAGAATGGTGGAGTCGAAAAGGTGGGCACGGAGTTGGGTGTTCCTTGTTCTTTTCACTACATCCTCGATGCTCTTGAGAGTTTTGTAGGCCGCCCGTTTCCTTCTGCTCAGCTCTGAAACTAAGTCGTTTGTCTTGTTGATTTCCCATCCTAGATAGCCGTAGCTGGAGCATTCAGAGATATTCGTTCCATTGAGCGTGAGTAGGGCATGCGAAACCAATCCGTTCTTCCTGAACGTGTTTTTGTCAGATCTAATCAATGACCAATCCTTCCGCAAGCGTCATCGTAGTTGGCTGCCATTTGTTTCGCCTCGCAAACGTTTGATGTTATAAGGACGATGTCATCAGCAAAGCGAAGTTGGTGTAATTGCTGACTTTTGATTTTCACCCCCATGTTGTCCCATTATAATACTTTAGTTAAATTCGTTTAGAGCTTTCATGATTGCTCCTGTTTCATCTTGAGTCGAAAACTTTTTCTAAATCCATAAAATTGAGATAGAGCGGTCTTTTGTACTCTCGTGATACTTCAAGGAGCCTTGCTATCCTGTGGATGTGGTCCACCGTACTGAATCCTTTTTGAAACCCTGCTTGCTCACATGACTGCCCTCAGTCCTGTGCTCTGTCAATCCCGTTTAGACTTGAGTGAGAAGTTTGTAGACGACAGATCGCAAGCAGATTGGGCGATAATTTCCTATATCGTGGATGTTATCCTTCTTAAACAATAGCTTGGTTTTGCTGTTCTTTCACTGGATAGAGGAGACCTTGCTTTCTGACAGGTAACGTATGAAGAGCCGAGTCAGTGTTTTTTTTTTTTGAGGACTGTCGAAGGTTTTCCCAGGTGTTCAAATCTTATCTTGTCCGGATCTGATGCTGTTCGACTTTTCACCGTCGAAGTGATATATCAGTTTTTGGTAAGGAGAACAGGTTGTATGATATATCCATCCTCTTTTATTTCATATGAGGGTGGGTGGGCGTGCCTATTGAAGGGATTTGAGTAGTAATCGTGAATGTTTTCCTCTATTGTCTTTCTGGAAGCTGTAACCGTTCTGTTTCGGGGTCGGAGTGCAATAATGTTGATGTTATAATTGGCGAAGTTTCGGTGGACTCTGCGATTGCTGTTCCAAACTTTTGCAGCTTCGGCCATAACTGCTGATCTTCTCTCTTTACGGACTTCTTTTATCGCCTGTCTGCACTGTTTTGCAAGTTCGGATATAAGTTGGCGGTAACCTGTATTTCGTCCGATTCCACGCTAGCGTATAAGCTTATGGAGACAGAAGTCTCATGGTGGCTTCCGAACACCCAGCTTTCATAGCGCTAACGTGAAAGTGTCGAATACGTTGCTCCTATTCCTTGTCAGTGTTACCAGTAACGACATCTTCCTTAGAATCGACTAATGCTGTGAATAAATCCCAGTTTATGGTGGTTTTCGAATTTGGCGGCTTTCTGTCCTTTCCGCAGGAGACCCGTGTAGAGTTTTGGGACAACGGCGACTTCTGTTAGGCAAAATCTTCGACTTGCTATGACGTGTATTATTTTGCTCTGTACTCTCCACTATGGACTTCCACGTTCCGTTGAGAGCGGTGAATAACTATTACAAGATAAAGGTGATAGTGTTGGTTTCGGAGTTCTGCCAAACATTTTTCCAGTTCCAGTCCAGTTCCAGTTCAAGGTCTCTAGTTCTTTGTGCCTACTATTTTTCAAATAGTTTGTATTTGGAATTTCTCCATTTACCATACGTTTACTAGAACTTTGCTGCTCAGCAAACTACAACTTGTTTTAGGACTTTTTGGTATTGAGTTCAATAAAAAAAAACTTTCTTATTAAGCGCGAAGGAGAGGGAAGGCGAAATTCTAAATCCATTTGACGACAATTCATACGCTGTTATTAGACTTAAAACTGACCAGGTATACCAGTCATTTCTTCTAGTGAGGTTCATGTCTTGCCTTGTGAGCTGTTTTTTTTTCACATCCATTTAGATCATGTTTCTGCGGCAACTAAATCGTCACCTCGCTCTCGTATGTGTAATTCGCGGCGAGAATTTTGAGAAGCAAGGCTTAATCGACTACAATTTCAACTGCTTCAAAGAGGTGAGTTATTTTATGTTATGATTTCTTCGGCCGGCCAGCTGATTGCCTGTTTTGTGATTATGAAAGTGTTTCTAGGCGATCGAGAATGTTTTCATGGTACGAAAGCATATGAGTGAAGAGAAGAATTCGTAATCTTGTCATCGATATAATCTTTCATATAGGTAATACTTTGCACCAAACAATGACGTTGGAATGTTTAACCCAAATGAACAAAAGGGCCTATAATGGAATGTTTTAACCAATGTAAACAAAAAACCCAGTAATGGAACGTTTTAACCACTATGAACGAAATCACTGTATTACTCAGTATATCGTTTTGTCACGTTTAATTAATAACTGATATGTTCGTTTCGTGACATTTCGTGTCCTTTATTTCCGTTAATTCACCGTAATTGAAACTGACTGCCACTTGGATCGTATAACTCAGATGAGCCCTAGTATTTTCTTCACGTTTCTCATTTTGCTTTTACATTTTTCCTTGTGAACAGCTAGTACTCGTATGTTCTTATAAAACCGAAATCCATTTAATCGTCTTTATTTTAAAGCTCATGTTTATGCGACAACTCAGTGAAATTAGAATGCAAATCTGTGATATGTAATAGCTAATTGATGGCTTGATATTAGTGATAAACGAGACTAGAGCGTTCATTTTCAATATGCTGTTATCGTTTCATAAGTTCATTTGTTGACAATTTATAGGAATTGTGAACTTACTGTCAGAGTGAAGCATTTGAATGTGCGGAAAGATGGGGAATAAAATCGTTGTTTGTCATGTCAAAAATATATATTTAATTTTGATCGCGATATTTATTCAGCAGATTCTGTGTTTACGGTTTGCATACAAGATGATTAATCTGCTATGTCCTGATGTCCTAATCCTAATTGTTCTGGGAGACCATGACATCACTAGGTAAGAAGTAACAGCAGAGTAAGAGTCTACACATCCTGCAGAAGAATTAGCAATAGTCCGTAGACTAAGTGGTCTTACACTGACCGTTTTCACCGTTTCCCAAAGTCCGAGGGAGATTTGGATGGAGAGTTGTGATTCTTGTCTCTCTGATTTATGGTGCAAAAATGTTGCCCAGCGTTATTTACATGATTTGTTCTCGTTTTTGCTTTCTGCCTACTATAATTTCGCGGCAGGGTACTAAGCGAAATACAACCACAACGTTGCTGAGATATTTGCAAAACTCTGGACCGCAGGTGTCTATGGTGGGGAACGAACGCGCTATTGTCCTTTCCGGGGAGTAACGCGTTCACCACCGCACCATGCGGGTCCTTTGTTTCGCACGTCTCTCAGCTATTTCTATCGATCTTTGCCACAGCAATCACCCTTCAGCGAGATTGATCTGGAGCGCCCAAAACGGCATAGAACCCAATTAAGCTGCGGCTGTAGTTGAAATCACAATGTTATACGTTTTTGCTTTCTGCCTACTATAATTTCGCGGCAGGGTACTAAGCGAAATACAACCACAACGTTGCTGAGATATTTGCAAAACTCTGGACCGCAGGAGTCTATGGTGGCGAGCAATAGCGCGTTCGTTCCCCACAATAGACACCTACGGTCCAGAGTTCTGCAAATATCTCAGCAAAGTTGTGGTTATAGCACATAGTTTATTGTACGAAACTTACAGACTACTAGCGATGAAAAGGCTGTCTACAACAGAGACAGTTACTTGTGGAAATGGTGTAGAGATGATCGATTCGTGGTTACAGAATGTATGTGATGATGGTTTAGGTTTTTTGACGCTAGATTAGAAGTGCATAATGAGTGTTTGACCTCACAGAGTCTAGTGTGGGTCGAACAGTAGGTCGCCAGAGTGACAAGTTCAGCTCTACTCGTATTTTCTAGCGAGGATTTCATTCCTGAGAAAAGTGTCGTCTTCTTCCACGTTACTTCTTGCTGTAAAATCATGTGAATCTCAATATGAGCTAGAATTCAGGCAGGGAACGAAATTCGCCGTCCGAAGAAGCTGTTTTGGTTCCGTTTTCGTGCGAGGTGTGAAACAACCCCACGGCGTATTGTAGGCGTCTTGATTATGTCCGCTATTTCCGTTGTTATTACACTGATATCGGAATTTGAAGGACGGGAATCTGACCTCATTTTGCAAACCAGTGATAAGAGGGGAAACTAATTTACTAGTTGAGAATTTCCATTATGAAGAGGATCTGGCGTTAAAACATGTGTTGTGCGGAAAAACTCTTGGATATTCCAATTCTTTCCATTGGTTGCACTTACATGGTCGTTGCGTTTCTTCATAGCCAGTTGTGGAAATTTAAGAAGAGGATGTATAGAAATGAAGAGAAATATAATGTGATTTACCAACGGCAGTATCACGAGAAACAATAAGGAACCTTCATAGTCTATAATTTTTTCCTTTTTGATAAGTCATGAAGAAAATGATTCTCGCACAGAAATTTTTTGTCGACGAAATGTACTTTTTATATGTAAAAGTGCTAAAAGGTCATAAATTGTATAGCATTGTGATAAGCCCTATAGCATTTTCAAAAGCAGTTTCAACGATTATCGTTAAGATTTCATGAAATTGGTGTTGTCGGGGTGCGGATAAAGTGTGCTATAAAATTCGTTCAAATCATTGCTTCTGCTAATTCAGTTAGGTGGAAAAGTGAAGTAGCTTGAACAAAAGGAGTATACAGAATGTTCAGTGAACAGTTTGTATTGATGCAATGAAAAATTGCATTGAGGGGGCTTCTAGGAGATAGCGCAGCAGGTTATTCATGAGTACCTAAGTACCATCAGTGTGGAGCACCTTATCGGTACCTGCACTCGAGTCAGTATTTGATGGAATTACAAATAATACAACTGTCAGATTCTATATAGATATGTGTAATAAATAAAAGGACAAAGCTGCAGGCGTTAATCATTTCCTGAGGGATGCGCTATGCATTCGACTTCATTAAGCATCGTTTGGAGGTGATTGAATGCATATCTCGCCTTTACAATGACTCGAGGTGGCCTACCGATGCATCGAGCCAGTGCTACTATCCTCCAAGACAAGCCTGGTAGCGATTAGCCGACTCCGTAGTGATGGAAGGCTTGGTGGGCCATGGCCGCGGGAATCGATTCCACGTGTGTATTGCAGGGCGCCTGCAACCACTACGCTACCTGCGTCCTTATATAATACGTATATATACGTATTACTTATTTATTTAATTTTTAAAAATTCTGTTCTGCTTCACATATTCGTAGCATAATTATTTCTTATTTAAAAAGTGTAGTATGATCACTAGGTATTTTGACATTTAGTAAACAAGCTGCACGAAAACTGAGCAGTTTCTATCTCTCGAATTCTTTCTCACAGTGAAACATTGCTATTTTGATATTAATGGTAGATAACTGAAGAATGCCGAGGAAATGAAATCAAACATGCGGTTAAAACGACTGCGACAACTTGCACTGTCATTCTAACAGAATGCAGAAAGTACTCGCAGTTCTGGCCGTACTGAATTCAGTTACGTGTATGAGAGACGTGACGGAGGTGGAGTGGAACCGATATGGATACCTTGTAAAAGTAAGTTGTGATCATCTTCGTATCAAATGGCAGCTTCTAGTGCCAGTTTTATAGGTGCTTCATGAGGCAAAAGACATGTCCAAGGTTCTAGGATGCACTGGAACTATAGTTTCACCATCTCTAGTGCTGACGTCTGCAAAATGCTTTGGTGATGAAGCAGAGTTAGTTTAAAATTTGTGATGTGTTGTAATGAAATCTGGCGCCACAATTTGAAGTTTTGACTGCCGCACAATTTGAAGTTTTGACTGCCTATAGACTGAGATGAAAAAGTTTTTCCAGTTTTTCCCTGGTCATTCGGCATGCAGCAACCTCGCTTGCGAGAAGTGAAATATCCTCTCGTCAGTCGATGGCGATAATGCATGCTCCATTTTCTGCATCTCTACATTCACTTTTTACTAGCCAGTAGTGCATTATTTAAAGACGTTGACTAGAAAAATTTGTGATCTTCTTCTTTATAATAAGCTTCTTTGGACAAATAAGTGTGCTCCGCGATGTTGTATTTAACCACGAGCAATACCAGTCTTCCTTATTAAGATTCAAAATAGAAGACTTATTAAGATTCCCCAAGTCTTAAGCTTCTACCTCCCAAATTCGTCACGGCTCTTAAATTTTGGTGTAGTCAAGTGGTGAACTGCTGCTGAGAGTGACTTCAAAATTTCCTCAACAATAGGTGAAGCTGATCGTACTTAATCACATCTCATAAGACTTATAAGAACTGTTTTAGAATTCAAATCGTAGAACAAGTGTGGATGTTGTACGGTAAGTATAAATATTTCTCAAAGTTACTCGGCTACTTATTCATTCGCCTGTCGTAAAAATAAAATATTTCTATTACTCATTTTGCTTGAAACCATGACATTTGTGTTATGCTGACTTTTTATCTTAAATGCTGTAACATCACCTATGCAGATTTCATAGTGGACTTTCAAGAGAAGCAGATAAAACAAATAGAAAGAACTTTTTAAAAAAAGGAGCTTTCCTTTGAGACTTGTTATCATCGCTAGAAAGCTCGCTATAATGAATCCCGCTAGCATAGCAAAATTCACTTAACTGGCATTTTGTTGGTTAGTCAAAGTTTCTTCTTGTATCGGGCGATTTTGAAGCAGTGTTTCTTGGTGATCACAGCAGGCAGCACCCGTCTCTGTGTAATAAAGGCAATTGTGCAGCTCCATGACTAAATTTCTTCGAAAACATCGACAATTCCTGCTAAAGCTTCGCTCTTATCCAGGTTACAAGCCTTGGGAATGAAAAATTAACTAAAATATGGTGCTCTCATAGCCTGGGTGACATTTCTCTGATAAAAAAGCCAATTGCTACCTAGAATTACTCTCGCCATAGCGAGACGGCAATCCACTAACGACACCTTTGATTCTTCACGGCATAAAGAGTGAGCGGTTAATAATTTTATGGCAATGCTAAGTAAATTTTTTTCAAATATATTAGAAAATGAGACATTTTATAGTGGGAACTCCCTTGTAATTTACTCAAAAGGAACATCCTATAGAAAGCGCATGGTCAGCTCTGTGGTGATGGCGGGTGATTTTGCCATCCTGGAGTTTCATCGAATCAGAGATGAGGTAGAGGTTCAACACGTTTTTCCTTGCCAAGGTTTCTATACTGAGTACGTTTTCATTTGTTAAGATGTGCCCCAGCGCTCCTGCGCCAGTTCGATTGAGTCGATTACCCATTGAGATCACTTTGACCAGTTCTCCATGGAAGAGCATTAACCTTGACAAGTTGCCCAAGAAGAAATGCCGAATCACTGGTTTCGAGACATCAAATGGTAAGTGGCACTTTTTTTCACTTATTGCTGCTAAGACAAGAATGTATGGAACGGTTACCGTCTGGCAGCACATTTTCAAATCAAGATTTGTCCCTGTGCGCAACCATTTTTTATACCTAGTAATCAGTTGTTATTACAAGGAGTTCACACTGTTAACACAGCCTACATGGGGTGGTACTAAAAAGTTGAAACAGAAAATATTCAGTTACAAACTTTTCTTCCGTGCACAAAACACTACAAACCGATGTGCAAGTAGTGATTGATGACGATGTTGTGACAGTCGATGTTGCCGGCGACAGCCCTGTGTGTTGGGTCTGTGGAATATTGCTTCTTTCCGTTATCTTTGCCAAAAACGATGAAAAATAGCGAACATTTTTAATATAGGATGATATCGGTGTACCACTTGAATGCATGTTGGACAACAAGAGCTGGACTCAAGTTGGATTACTACAATCAGTAACTAGAATTGTGAGTTCAAAGAGGAGGTTCAGAGTGATAAATTCAAATGCTTTCATCATATCCGTTTAGGTAGAAGATGAAGAGAACCCCAGTACGTCTGAATGTGGCGACATAACGGTAAGAATGCACAACATTAAGCTTAAAAGAAGTTTAGCTTATGAAATGATAAAAAGAAACGGCGAACGAATGGACACAGTCACCGTCGAATTATTGGAAATGTTTTATATATATATATATATTTATGTGTGTATATATAATGGACATTTGGTTCGAAATTAATTAGGGCTTTAAAAATTTTTTTCCTTCTTTTCCAAAGCAAAGCAAGTCATTGGGCGCCAGTTTTCTGTGGAATACAACAGAAAGCTTCCATTCAAACACATGAAGGTTCCCACAGTTTAAAGGAGAGGAAAACGAAAGAACAGATCACCATAGATTTTTGATACCAAACACTAAGCTGCGTGTTATCCGAAGCCACCGTGTATTGCTATACCGTACCACGCTGATTCTGGATCTTCCCTAGTGGTGTTCACAACGACTTGCTAATGATAAGCGAGATGGGATACTGCATTACATCGGCAGGTTATGAGAATTCTCTCTAACAAGACCAAATATCGCGGAAAAACGGCCGACGTTACAGTAAAGGTCGAAGCCAAGGACCTGTAACTGCAATGCTCAGCAGTGTTAGTCACTCACACGGTAAAAAGTTGATATAGAATAACAATCATGTGAGTGCAAATGAACATATCTTCTTTGCCAGTGAACTGCTATAGGAAAGAAGTGCCGCGGTCGAAATAGCTTTTCTCCATTCCACGACTTTCAATAGTAGGTAGCCTTGACAGATCATTAGCTTTTCGAGAGTCTTGTTTCGGAAATCATTCCGCTTAGAGTCTGGATAAAGATGAGAAGAAAAACGATAACATTGACAGCCGTATAGACCACAAATATATATCAAGTAGTTATTTGAGTGGCTGCCGACGGATTTTTTATAGTATAATAATAAAGCATAAAGGATAAAGCTCTCGGTGTTGATCAATGCCTGAGTGATGCGCCATGCATTCGACTGCATTAAGCGTTGTTTGGAGGTGACTGAATGCATATCTGGCCTTTACAATGATTCGCGGTGGCTTATCGATACATTGAATCAGTACTGCCGTGCTCCCAGACAAGTCTGGTACCAATTTGCCGACTCCGGAAGGAAAGAAGGCTTGGTGAGCCATGGACGCAGGGATCGATTCCACGTATGTGTTGCAGGGCACCTCCGACCACTGCGCTACATGCGCCTCTTTTTTAGGGTATACCATTGGTAAACGGAAGAACTTCGGGCTGAAGTAAGCAGTTAACCTATTAATCACATCGCAGTGCGAAAACAAATCTTGTTATTTTAGCCACCGGCAACAACCGGTTTTTTGCGTTCTAGCGCACAAAAGCTTTATTTTCTCTATTTCATCAAGAGTTTTTTCGTTTTATTCGAGAAACCAACACATATTAATGCATTAGAAAAAACATTCTATTTATAGAGTCTTGTTTTTACGATATTCTCCGATGAAACGATTGCTAAATCTCTGGAGGATCATACCGTCGATGTGCTCAGCTGGTCAAAGAAATGTTTTGATGCTTCTCGATTAGAATCAGATGAACCATCCGAGTAAATTCACGTTTTGCTGATTGTTCATCACAATTTAAAAGGTGGTGATTTTGCAGCATAATTCCATTTCCTAACTACACTCTGCTATTCTAAAGAGAGGGAATATGTGCTAGAATTTTATCAAGAAAGACATGGACGACATGCTATGGCGTTGGCAAGCGTGACTGCTAAACCAATTTTGTGGAATGAGAAATAATTCTTCAAAAAACAACCAAAAGTTTGCGTGCAAGAAATTACAATCACTTGACCCTAGACTGTGTCGTCAAATTACAGAATCGGGTACAGTCTATCTGATCTCTTGTAAAGCGTGCGGGCACGAATATGTTGGCGAAACGGGTAGACCGCTCTGCGTCCGCATAAAAGAACACCTAGTCGGTAAATCTAAACTAAAACAAAATACTCCACTAGGCGCGCATAGGATGCAGGAACACAACGGAGAAGATTTTGAAGCAGGAGTCACTATCATTACGCAGGAATCGAAAACATCAGCGCGTAAAACTCTTGAAGCGTTTTGGATCAATTCCAAAGATTCAAAAATGAACCGTAAGGAGGAGTGTCTTGTCATCACGCGTGACCTGGCGCCATACCTCAGGCTGATCCAATGACCTGACATGGACACAGTTATCGACCATGAATTACTCTGTGCGGCGGCTATCCACCAACTAACTTAAATACTTACAACAAATAAACGGTAGGTGTTTGAATGAAGCTGTTTCTTATGCGAATGCAAATCGAATTGTCAAGTTTTATCTGCTAGGGTTGTAAAAGTGTTTGGCTGAGTAGATCACATCTCAATTTGACCTTTCCAGGCTCCGAAGAAGGCGAAACAGCCCAAACGTCAGCAATTGTGTTCTAATAAATTCTATATTAACAACTTCGTGTCTGCTTATTGATGAAAAACATTGAATTATCAATTAATGCCGAGGTTAACAGAAAGTCGGTCTTGGGAATTACAGAATCGTCTATTTTGCAAAGACGGTCATAAAGGAACTGAATACATGTTATATGGGTCATGCATTCAACTGATTCGGAACATTCTGTAACCATAGTCATTTTGTACTAACGATAGAGAAGGAGACTGCATGTGTTCAGATGTAATATATCTGGTCTCCTGTAAGACATTCAGTGACGAATACATTGGTGAAACGGGCAAACCGCTGTGCGTCTTCATGAGAGAACACCTAGATAGAGCGTAGAAAATTCGACCAGGTTCAAATTTAGATGAGCATAGGGCACAAGGACACAACTGTGAGGATTTTGTAGTGGTAGCCACAGTCCTGGAGCAGGATAAAACTTGCAGCGCAGGGAACCTTTGAGGCTTTTAGACTAGTTTTAAAAATCCAAAATTGGAAGAAAAGTGAGAGCACGTAACAATCAACGTGTAGGTCCTAATTTCAGATTTGTTTTCTGGTCTGAACAGGGTTCTGTAATGTTGTGATATTAGAAAAATTCAGCACCCCAGGCGAACTTCAAACTCTTGTTTACCCTTCCCGGTAGTTCAATAATAACAACAAATAAGAGCGAATAATAACAGCAAATAACAACAAATAAAAACAGCAAATAATAACTGCGAATAACAACAAATAATAACAGCAAATAACAATAACCAATAAGAGCAACCACGGATCTCCCTCTTATGCGGGATCCCGATAGCCAGTTAATCGCGAGGCTACGCGGTACGTCCCAGGTGGCGGATAGGGTGCTAATCGTGGACCAAAAGCGACCTTTGCTTCAATGACAAGCAGGTGGATCCAGGGGATGGACTCTGTTTCTGCTGCACCGATTTACCACATATATTTATTTATGTGGTTTTATAAACTGATCTTCTTAAGCTGACACAAGGTTGGTACAGATCTTTGTTGCCGTTGTTTTTGATGTTATTGATCGATGGCTAACGTTTCGGCGACTTCGCCCTCCTCAGAGCCGTCACGGTCCGCGGTCCCGCACGTAACATCATCGATCGATAACTCAAAAACAACGACAACGACAACGAAGATCTGTACCAACCTCGCGTCAGCTTAAGAAGATCAGTTTATAAGATCACATAAATAAATATATCAACTATTTATGCCGAGGTTCATAGAAAGTCGGTCTTTCGATTTACTACATACTTTCTGTACTTACGAGACGTATTTATGCATACGTGTGTGGGTGCGTTCTAGTTCATGCGAATTTATTCTACAAGTCAATTAGGCCAAAAGCCTGCTATCAAGTAACTGGGAACAATATTGTACTCGGTTAGGAATCGCCTCCAAAAAATAAACTCCATGACCACTCTGGGAGAGCATGGGAGGCTACCCGTGAGTATACCCAGCCCACATGTTCAGAGCCCAGCAAGCTATACGTGGTTATCAAAAAACTAAAAACAGTAAGAGAAGCGGGCCTTATTCCCCTGACCCCGAAAGAGCCTCCAGTTCGGCGGCATTGGCTAGGATGAGTAAAGAGAGGCTGCTAAAATCTCACGGTCTGTGAAAGCTGCCTGGATTTCAAGGAACTAAGGTGACGAGCTGTACCTACAATGCAGGTGCAGTGGCATCCGAGTCCTCGATAGAAGACTTGTTCATTCAAGCGAGAAAGACAAGGTCCGACGTCAACGGCCTAGCCCAGACGGAGACGAAGCCACCCATTCAACGACGTCTATGACACGGGAGAAAAACTGTTCTTCGGAACAAGCGACAGTAGAAGCGACAGTGTCCAGAAACATTGATTCATTCGAACAACTAACAACCCGCATCGGACGCTTGCGGCTAAAAAGATGTGGATCAGCAGCGGCAATCACAATCTTCGTCGTTTACGTGCCGACGTCAAAGTATGACGAAGAGGAAGTCGAAGCGCTCCATATGGACTTGGAGAAATTCTACAGAGAAGACCATACATTCCTTATGGCCATCATTAGAGATTTCAACGCCAAGATTGAACCAAGAAGAACGTCCGAAGAACGTCACATTGGGACCCACGGATTAGAATGGAACGAATAGGGTGTGCCGCTGTCTGACTTTATCGCGACGTCCAAGACCATCCACGGTAACTCGCAGTTCCAGAAGTCCCACACTCAATGCTGGACGTGGGATTCTCCCAATGGAGAGTACCATAACGAAATAGACCACATTACAGTAAACAGAAGGTTTGCCTACTGGTGTCACAAAATTCTACACGGGATCAGACCACCGTCTCGTTCGTGCAAGATTCTATTACTCACGAAAAAGGACAAAAAAGCCGTTAAATTCGAAAAGCGAAGTCCCATAACCACCATAAACTGGGACTTATTCAAGTTATTGGCCTGCTGTTGGGAAGATGCCGTTATCGATAACATCGATGAAGAATACGATCGGTTGATTCAATATGTTCACGTTAGCGCTATGAAAGCTGGGAGTTCGAAAGTCACCAAGGAACGTCTGTCTCTAGAAACATTTGAGCTGATACGCCAGCGTGGAATCGCACGTGCTGCAGGCAACCGCGAACTAACGTCCGAACTTGCAAAACAATGCAGAGAGGTGATGAAAGAAGAACTTAGAGAGGAAGAAGCAGCAGTAATGGCCGAAGCTCTAGAGGCTCGGAAAAGCATTCGCAAAGCCCACCGAAGCTTCGCGAATTACAAGGCCAAGATGACTGCACTCCGACGACCAGACGGAACAGTTACAGTGTCCAGAAAGGCAATGGAGAAAATCATTCACGAATACTACTCAGATCTCTTCGATAGCCACGTCCACCTTCCATCAAATGAAATAAAGGAGGATGCATATGTTGCACCACCGGTTCGCCCTCCCGAGATCCCACATGTCATTTCGTCGGTGAAAAATAGAACAGCAGCAGGTCCGGACAGCTTAAGACCAGACCACCTGCAGAACCTTTCGCCAGTCCTCGTAAACACACTGGCTCAGTTGCTCACACGTTACCTGTCTGAATGCAAGGTCACTATTCAGTGGAAGACCAGCAAGATCGCGTTATTGTTCAAGAAGGGTAACCTACACGATATCGGCAACTATCGTCCAATCTGCTTACTGTCTATCATCTACAAACTTTTCACTCGAGTCATCCCAAACGGGATTGATAGAACACTAGACGAAGAACAGCCATGTGAGCCAGCAGGGCTTCGAAAAGGATTTAGTACGATGGACCACATCCATACGGTAACAAGGCTCGTTGAAGTATCACGAAAATACAAAAGACTGCTCTGTCTCACTTTCATTGATTTACACAAGGCCTTTGATACAGTTGAGATAGAAGCAATCTTGGAAGCTCTTGATAGTCAAGAGTTCCCCACTCAGTACATAAAGATTCTTCGTGAGCTGTACAAAAATTTCCCAAACAAAATATCGCCATTCTACGACGATATTAACGTTGACGTCAAAAGAGGAGTTAGGCAAGGTGATACCATCTCACTAAAATTATTTACCGCCTCCCTGCAGAGCGTTATGCGAACATTGGAATGAGATAATATGGGAGTGAAAATCGAAGGTCGGCATTTACACCATATTCGCTTTGCTGATGACATCTTCCTTATAACACCAAATATTAGCCAAGCGAAATGTATGCTTGACGACTTTGATAAAGCCTGTGGAAAGATTGGTCTTCGACTATCTCACAAAAACGATGTTCATGAGAAACGGATTGGTTTCGTATGGCCCATTCACGCTCAACAGAACGAATATCTCCGAATGCTCCAGTTATATCTGCCTGTTGAGTGCTCGACAGACGCCAGGTCATGATGGGACACGTTTTTAATTCAGTTTCAAGTCTAGAAGTAACTGATAGTCTTAAACCTACCGAGTTTGCAACTTTGACCTGTTCGTTCTTCAACTTTCGATATTGTCCATTGAGTTCTGTTTCAGACGATGAACATACAGTGAAATATCTTCAATGAAATGGTCAGCGTAAAAACTGGCATAATCTACACATTTTTGCCACTAGAAATAAGTGTACCTGCACTAGTTGCATCATATCTTGTATTTCTGGTGGCGGTAATGTCCTCGAAAGCAGTTCGGGCCCAGGCTCTGTTTTTGA